AAGATAGACGAAAGATGTGCATTCGTTGCTGAAATTTTCAAAGGGACGCGATTTCGTTGTACCAGACTCTGTAAATTCTTAACTGGTAATATTCCGTCGAGAGTTCTATTCTCATCTACTATAGAAGCTATAGTTCTGTGTAAGAATTAACATAAACCTTGTTTCTTTTCCATCTTGTACAAGGAAGGTAAAGTTTTGAAACCAAGCAAGGGGTAAATTCTTACCACAGAATAATGATCCACATCGCATTGTTGTCATAAAACGAACGATAATCTGTAAGCATTGTTAAAGAATGGCGCTCAGGTATATGATGACACGACGGAATGAAGTATGTCCTCTGGAGGTGCTGGCATAATTCCTTCAGTCGCCTCGGTGCAATGAATACCTTTTGTGGGCTAGAGAAAAGCTGTGATAAAGAGATGAGAAGATCTAGTGACGTTTTTTCCGCTTCAACGGCATTCTGCTGCAGCATTTGTAAGACTCCCTCTGAAAGTGCAAGCCCGCTGAAATATCAGCAGCAATTTTGCGGCATAACGCATTGGTTGAATTCACAACTGTGGTGTACTCATAGAACGCAAGGACTGCTAAAAAGCAAAGACCCGTCATAAACTTGCCAGCTATTAACCGGTAATCATTCGATTCAACAGTAATTTCTGATGGAAAAACAAAGTATTTGCTCATAAATGCAATTCGAACATTATCACTTTGCGCCGACTTTCGTTCCTCACCTCGCATCAGTTGATGAGGATTTCTTTAGAGGAAGAAAACGGTAATATCAGATCTAACACAATGTAAGCAAAAACGGCTCTCTGGACAGTTCTCAGAGAGAATTAAAATTCATGTTTCATTTCAGTGCCAGGGAATCCGTGAACGCACAGTTAGACAGAGTGCTAAAGATTTTGTATGGGCAGTTACTGTTGCCCTTGTTTCTGGTGGCGGGCGGTTAAATGGCTGAAATGTGCGCTGAATCACCTGGTAGCCGACCTTATGACCGGTATACCGCGAATGCTGTCCAATAAACTTATCAATAAGAAATATACCTATCGTATCTATAGTAGGTTCAGCAAGTTAATGGTCCACTTAGATGGTTTGTAAATTTTTGAACCATTATGAATTTTCCATTGGTTGATACAAACTTTTGTTTTATTTTGTTATTTACTCGTAAAGCCTTGTGCTAATTATTTGGCAAACTGTTAGTTAGAACAAAGAGAATAGCAGCCGTTAGCTCACGCACAGTACAGCATGGCTGTCTTATTATTCCAGAACATAATATTATGTCCATTGTTAGCAAATTATCAGCTTGCTACCTATTTCGCTGTCTGCACTGAAACACAGTAGGGTTGGTTCCTTGCTTTAAGGGCAGTGGCAGTTATAATAAGAAATTTTACGCCATAGATAGTAATCAAACCTTGCATGTCTAAGGTACAATGCAACAGTCCAACTCACTGTACCATTGCTTCCTCCCGAAGCTAATAAATTTTTATCCATAGATTGCGAATGCTCAACAATTAAGTTATACAATAGAGAGGCAGAAAGAAAAAATGTTAACATCCTAATCATTTTGTTTTAAAGTGTGAAGCCAGCCGAAGTTTTGCACAGGCACTGTCTGGCGTTTTGCCCATTCAGTCACTTTGACAAAGACGATACGGTCCTGTTACTGCCAGAGTTCGACTGTATTATAGCTTCTGTTTAAAAATCGCCGATGGGCTATTGTAGTATTTGGAGTGAGCTAATTCGCATACAAAGCTGGGTCAAATGGCAAGGAATAAATAATCAGACAACAGTAAGTTCATGATACGAGAATTCTAAAACAGAGCATAACTCATGTACGAAAGCATAGCATGCATATATCGGCAATATGCTTGTTTTGTTAACCCTTGCGAAAATTACATGCGGTGTTCATAAAATTAATATATTTTTCAGTCTGAAGATTCTATGTAATGCGAAAGTCAATTATGCAAACTACTCCAACTGCTCCCTATAATCATACTGAAGCATACATTAAATCGATCATCCAACAGATGGCTAAAACTCTGCAGAACAAAGAGTGGGAAATGCGGAATCTGCTCAGATCGATCCTATGTTAGCGCTTACATGTAGCTACCCATCAATACGTTCCCATTATCGCAACTTCCCATTGTTTGTCGTATTATTAGGTATATTTTTGCTGTTATCACGCATTATCTGTATCTTGCATTACTATTGCAGTTTAAGTAGTAAGCTAATGCGATTCTTTAGTTTTGGTTAGGAAACGTCTTAATGAAAGCAAGGCATTCTTTTGATGCTTGCCAATGTTCTAGTCTGACTGGCCAAATGCAATTTGCGTAAGAAGACTGCAGACTTTGAAGTGCAATGCCGCCGATACATCTTTCACAGTTGTTAGAGAACAACACCCATCGAATAATCAGTTTTCCAGAAAGCCAATATCAAAAAAAAATATTGGACAAACAGTTCATCTATGATTATGCGGTAGGAGTTGATGCTCTCGGTAATACCTTAGCTCTTTTAGGCACGTAATCCTTGAAAAGAAAAGCCAAAGGACAGGTGAAATAACACTGTATCGGATGACCGATACTTACAGAGGTACCGACATATCACTTCTACTATGTTGCAAATTGACGGAAGAATAACAAATGGATGGATGGGTGGTTGAACTTGATGTTCAGTCGATCTCATATTTCTGACATCACCAGCACACATGGGACAAAACGAATCCTGAAGCAATTGTGAGGCTCCTGAAGCCAGGTACTTAAGTTTCGATGTTTCATGCATATGCCAAGCATGCGGAATATTTGTAATGCACAATGGAGCTGGTTAAGCTTCAACTTTATTATTTTAAACAGAACGTTCTTAGCAAATAAAGGCAAGAATGGTAGGACGCTCTCGAAAATAATTTCGAATGGGGTTAAGAAAAATCGCGAAGTCTGTAGCTAAATGTAATCTAAGTAATTCATGCCTAACTTCCATCACTTAATGACGTTGCGAAACATGCAACGACAAGTTGACTATCGATGGCTTGAGGATTGATGCAGGAAGTGAAAATATGCGAAAATGGTTGCGAAACAGAACCTTAAAATGAAGTTATAGCAATCTTCTGTCTTTCCTCCAGATTCACACGCTTACTCGTAGCGTTCCCTTGCTGCTGATAGCCAAAGAGACCGTTTAAGCGGGCTACTGCTATTTGACATATTAACACCTGCAGTTCATAGGTGCAAATTCGCACCATTCTGTTGAGTCAAATAAGTACCTGTTTAAAACACCAACTGATATACGCCGATCCGTATACATAAATAATAAAAATTGATCTCGGTATGTCATCTGGTAACACGAGGGTTTTATGAAAGTTATTTTATGTCGCGCTTTATTCGATTACATTAGAGAAAAAAAACTGAGTTTGAAAAGGACATCATGGAATTGCAAGCGCACGACTGGCGCCGCAACGTGGCTGTCGAATTTTAACACAGACGTGTTGTTCCTTTAGCAAGAAGGAAGAAAAGCAGCTGCCATTTAGTGTGATATCGCCTCGACTGTAACCAAAATGCTATCAACGCTCACCTCACTAATCACCTAAACGATCAACTCCCCAATCGCTTGTTATAATCCGCTCTGCCAACCTTGGCGACCCTGACCGTTTCTGACTAGTATTAACGGATGACTTGATCAATTCCCAGAAACGTTTTTAATGGATTCGAGATAATATAGATTCGAGACATTCCGTTTTCTGCATTTTAACGTTAACATTCTCAAATGGATAGATCGATTGGCGAATCGAATTGATGCCAGACAATTAGCAATCTGTCGTTGAATAAGATGTACCGATGAGTTGTAAGTAAAAAACAGAAAACCGTGATGCGTCATTTATCTACAATTGGGCCACGCATGCTCCTTTCGGAGAGGCATGTCTGTGAACAATGCAGCGAAACAATGCTATCTGACGGGATGCTTTAAATATGCCTCTGGCGAAACTGCATACATTAGCTATGATAATGAGACTCTTTCGGAGAACTTTGCCACTGCAGTGCCTTGCAACGCTATTTTGCGAGCAACCGCAATCGACTTCACACATTTAATAACTCCTGATGACGATGGCATAATATTAAAACGAGTCAATGTAAATTAGTAGATGATGGATGTATGCACAATTTGTCAGTGTGAGCACTGTTCAGTCAACGCGGGGCACAACATTCCTCCACAGAAATGGCAAAAGCGATGCCGGACGCTTGCCTCTGCACCTCAGTTGCTGCCACCTGACACGCGCATGACGTTGGCACGTGGTTCGGGCTTACCGTTACCCTACACTTGAAGCAAGAGTTCGGTCAAGAGTGAGACCAAGGTACTTATGGGAGCTTTTCCTGTCTGCCTTTCGCTGCCTGTTATCCACAGAGTATTACCTTGAAGAACTGCTTCGCTTCATCTTCATTGCTATCGGGATGGAACGT